ACTTTATCGTCTCTTAATACCTTTTATAGAGTCAAATCCTTTTTCTTAGGATGAGGGAGTTCTTTAAAGGTGTTAATTTTGTCCCTTCTCTTATCGTGCAATGCCTGCGCCTGCCCCATCTGCTCTGGTTTTTGTTCCTGCTCTCCTTTCCTGGAGGAAAAGCAAAGCCGCGGTCGGTGTGAGTGCAAAGAGTGGTCACAGGAGAAGATACCGTATCCCTTAGAGCTGTGCCTGGATCTAGAGCCTTATCATCTCCTTCTAAAATTGTTTTTAATCTTAAAGTGAGTTCTTGGCCGATGCTTGGCATAGAGCCTTAAGACATGAACGGTTTCCACCAGGTTCTCTTGGTGTGTGTGTCGCCTTTGAACACTGAAGGGTGAGAAAGGGAGGGTACGTGACTATACTTCTGTAATCTTAGAAAAAACTCATGAGCTGCATTATCGCAAGATGCTTTTCCTCACTATGAGATGGAGAGACTCCGCTAATAGTAGCGTCTATCAGAAAAACCTGAACCTCTGTGCATCTAGGGCTCATTTCTTTTCCGGTCTCTAACAAATCAGGTCCCCTGCCCCCCTGGATAAAACCCCTCCAGGACCAAGCAGTTCAGCTCCTTTCGGGACACGTGAAATCAGGCAGGCGAGGTTTTTCAACGCCCGTGCTTGGTGCCGAAACCATACCGCTTCTGAAGCCAACACGAACTTCAGCGAGCCTCGTATGCTGCTTCGCTTCCTACCAGGCACTGTGGGCTGCAAAGACCGCCCAGAAGAACATCCCACCTCTGTGGTGACCGAGTAGGACAACGACCCGCTGCTCTTTTACGTTGACAGCCTGATTTTAGCTGAACCGCCTCCTGCTGCTGCCTGGCGTACCAGCGTGCCAGAGAAGGACGTGCTCGGATCAGTCATCTGCTCGTACAGCAGGGAGAGGGTCCTTCCTTAGGTTTAAATCGTGCCTTAGGTCTCCGGTACCATTACAAGAAAAATATCTGCGCAGAAGCCAAGAACAGAGGAATCGCAATTACGTACAAAGCTGAGGTCGCTGGGGAGAGGACAACTGCTATTTGCAATTAAACTCCCTTTTAAACCAGTACCAGGGTGCGTATCACATTTGTGTGATGTTTGTAATGCGGGCTATTAATTTGGTTTGGATAGGACTAAAAGACCTTTCAGTCCACCCTGTTATGCCAAGTTTCATGCCGAAGGAAGGGTTTGATGCTAGAAGCTGAAAATGCCTCGTGGAAATGAAGTAACTGCTGTTGTGTTGCTGGGTTTAAATCTGGTCTTCAGACAGTAAGGACCGGCAGCCACTTCTGGCTCCTGCTCCCTACCAAGAAGGCGTGAATACTGTGCTCCCGGTCTAGGAATCCTTAAAGTGTTTCCCCAACCTGTCTTCTGAATTAACAGAGAAACTCTGAATTTCAACAAGCCCTTTCGGCTTCTCCCCCCGCCACCTCACCAAAACCGACCCCCAGAGAAACAAGTGATATGAACCTTTTGAGGTCTCAAATTCTCGCTCGTGATTCGGACCTGACGTCTCACGAGCCGGGTGCGGAAAGCCAGTCTCCAAAAGCCCAGTATTCGGGATTAAGTGGGAGCTGTAGATGCTCAGCATCTTTGTGAAGTAGGCCTCGGGGGTTCAAGAGCGTGAACGTGGATTTAGGAGTCTCCGCAGCAAAGCCAGCACGGTGGGAGACCGTCAGCCATCCGCAGCGCTACCCGAACGCTGAAGATCACGGTACGGTTTTGAAAGCTGTGTTAGGTCAGTGGCAAGTGCTTCTGAAAAGGTCGAGAGTCAAAGATTTTGGCTTTCTAGTCTACAAAACACAGAACAGCGAGGACTCGAGACTAATGAGACCTTCTCTGAATGTGTCTGCAGACTAAACAGGAGCCGCTTCCAACAGACAGAGAAAGTTTACCGATAAAATGAAGTATTTTCTCAACGATTGCTAGAAAGAGACGACAAAAGCTTTTAACGAGGCAAATGGGAAGGAAAGCTGGTCTCAGACCCCATTGTGCCATACCTGACTTCAGCGTGTGGTACGCAAATGGTCACGCTCCTTACATTGAAATAAGGAAACAAAAATATTCAGCTACATTGTACAAAACTCTCTTTTTTTTTATATATATATATACACACACACACAAAACCCCGTATCTAAGAGATTTAGCATATTGAATTTTAAAAAGTTGCTTGTAGAAGGGTGTTGGATTTTTTTTTCTCTGCTTGCTTTAGGCAGTGCTGTTGCTTAGAAGTTGACACCAGGCACCATATTTTTGAAAGCATACCAAGGCAGCGAGGAGCAGTAAAGGACTTAGAGCTTTTTCCCCAGGCGTCGGCTGCGAGGGCACTGCGACGTGCTGGGAACCGAGGGTCAGCGATGGAGAGAACTGATGGTTTCCCATCCATCTCTGCTTACGGTTAGGGGTATTTCGCTTCGTATTACTCCCTCTCCCCTAGAAAACACCCTACCGTCAGCTTCCATCTGGGTCAAAAGAAAATTAGCGTCGCCATCTGGATGATGCACATGTTTACCGAAAGGGATCTCATCCTGCGCACGAGGCTGAGGGCTGCCTGCTCCCTGCTTCCCGCTCTTCTTAGAGCAGACAATGGCTGCGGGGAGCGGCGTTTCTGCTCGGCTGGGGAAAAAAGTGCAACCCCCTTACTGCTCCTGCCGGGAAGGGAAAAAACCAGAAGGAAAACAGGGAGGGAGCCAGACACGTGAAAGGCGGGTAAACATGTCCCCGGTTATGTGCATCGACTGAAACATAAACCAGACTCATTTTTTTTTTAAAATCCGGAGGTTTTGTGCAACGTCTGTTAAAATAACTTTTTTTTTTTTTTAAAAATCGCACAGCGTAATGGACGTTTGGAAGTGCGTTTCGCAGCAGAGAAAATCCAATTAAACACCTTCCCGCAACAGAACACTTCAATCGGTTAGAAACCAAAGGAAAGTCAAACTTAAAGCAGTTCACAATGTTTGCCAGGTTGGTTTTTTTCCATCCCCATCCTCTCCCACCCTGATATTACAAAAGATTGTTGTTGGGTTTTATTTTTATTAATAAACGGGCTCCTCTGCAGTTCATATACAATCATAGGTGAATTTTAAATTCCATTTTATACAAACATCTCAAAAAATATTGGGAGTGAAGTATGGTAGGAAATATTGCTCATGTTGCTAGTTAACATGCGTGTAGGAAAAGGAGGAGAAGGGTTTGTTAGTGCACACCTCCAGAGCAGAGCACCCCCCCCTCCAAAAAAGATACAGTAGCTGATTACAGAAAGGTAATGTCCACAAAATTAAGTTTTTCATGCTATTCTACTTTCCAGTACTATACTCTCAAATCGCTTTCGCAATTTGTCTGCGATGGCTAGGTGTCGAACGCTGAGGTATATTAAAAAAGAGATACCTGCACCTAGAGGAAAATCCGTCTTTAGAAAGGGGTTTTTTTTGGTGCTGCACAAAGCAGTTGCCGTACAGGAATGTCACCCAGCTACGATCGCTTCCAATTTATAGTAGACAATAGATGACGCCTCCATTTTTTAGGCACTTCTTTTAAAAGGGAGATGTCGTTTCGTTGAACCGGTTTTTGCGTTCTGTCCCACACCACCTCCTCCCCGGCCCCCAACAAGAGTCAGGGAATAGTGTCTACTCTAGGGCCAATTGATTTTATTTCCCTGTGGATAATTTCCTATGTATAAAACGACAAAGGAAATGTTTACTTAAAGAGTAGAGGAACAGCCTGACTTAGCAGTTTTGCAAGACAGAAGATGGCTCCTTAGTATTTAAAACTAATTTCACAATTTAAATTTGACTTTTTTAAGTATACGAATGAGACATAAATACAGGCTATCAATCTGTTTAAAAATTTCATTCACATAATGGAAAATTTTTTCATTTATTAAAAATATCACATTTTGAGACTAGAAACAGTAAAGTGCATGAAAAGTTTAAAATATAAATTCAAGAAAATCTTATAGCAGCAAAAAAGCAGAATAAGGAAAAACTTAAAAACACAGACACAACCTTTTCCTATCACTGTGCCATTTTTTTTTTAAACATGAAGCAGCCAACCAATTTTTCAGAAAATTGCATTATGTTTAATGCCTCTTGAGGCACAAGGTTTTGAACTGGCCACCTAGAGCGTAAAAAGAAAAAAAAACCAAAACAAAACCCCCAGATTTCCAACACATCCGAAGAGCATTAACAGTTGGGAATGAACCAGCAGCGTTTTAATTCAACCCTGACCGACAACAGAAAAGAAAGACTATTAAAAAAGTGTGATGGTTATTTGGCAACTAGGGTCAGGAAAAATAATCCAAGGAATGATTACGGCTACCGCTCGCTCCCCCAGTGAAAAAAGCATGCCGACAGCTACGCCGCGTGCCCTTCGGAGACAGAAGTAAGATCATTTCCAGTGGCTTTTTCCTGGACCCTACGCTTAAGCATTTAATCCCAGGTTTCCCATCTTCGCAACCGAACTTCGGAAAAAGGAACCTAGGACGGATTTGCAACTTCTTTATTCACCCGGAACCCAAACGCTTGCAACGGCTCGCTTCAAGTGCAACTTCTTACCATTTCTAAGTCCTGCTCCCGAACTGCGCTGCCGAACAGCGTGTTGCCCTGGCTTGCCGAAGCAGAGGGGCAGCTCTGTTTCACAGAGGTCCTTTGGATCCCTGCGTATCTCGCCCAGAAAGGACCGAGTTCTTCAGAGCTCCGAAAAAAAGTCACCATGGCATCTGCCGAGCAAGCAATCTACACACAGCATTAAACGCTCACCTGCAAAGTCTTGTGAGACGCAGCTTCGCTGGAAATTTCGTTGTAAATGAAATTGCATCAGGAGAATTTAGACCTCAAATTTTACCACAGGTATTAAGCCATCTTTGGTTTTCTAATATTAGTTACACAAGGGGCAGGGCCACACTGCTAATCATTTATAGTCAGGTAATAAGTGCTTCGCTAAGGTGCAAAATATTTCGGATAGAGCTCCGAAAAAAAGTCACCATGGCATCTGCCGAGCAAGCGATCTACACACAGCATTAAACGCTCACCTGCAAAGTCTTGTGAGACGCAGCTTCGCTGGAAATTTCGTTGTAAATGAAATTGCATCAGGAGAATTTAGACCTCAAATTTTACCACAGGTATTAAGCCATCTTTGGTTTTCTAATATTAGTTACACAAGGGGCAGGGCCACACTGCTAATCATTTATAGTCAGGTAATAAGTGCTTCGCTAAGGTGCAAAATTTATTTCGGATGCAGAGTTCAGCCTCCGTTTTGGGTTCAAACAAACAGTACTTCTAATATTCTTCCTACAAAACAAGCATTTCTATTTTTGTTTTTCTTTCTCCTAAAAGGTTGGCTCATTTCGCCACGTTCTGGAAAAAAGCATTATCTTGAAATATGTTAATAAGCAAGTTTTAATCTCATTTGTCTGTTTATAAGTGCAGCTTCCTACTGAAAAGAAAAAGCTTGCCAGTTTTTTTAAAAAAAACAAACATTAAATTAAAAACCTGGAAAGGGAATAATACTTTGGTTCCAGCCCTAGTGCCAAATGATACCAATATGCACCAAAATGTGCAAAATCTCATATCAAACACATAAGGAAAGGAGCTTGAAGAAGCAGCTTAAGGTTGGCCATACTTCACTCCTATATACTTTGATTTACAACTGTACAGGTCCGTAACAACAGGTCCTTGCCCTCTAAAGGGGCAGGGCTCCACTACCTCCTGTTAGGCAAGTGCACACCGTTGACAAGAGGCAGGAGCGGAGGATGGAGTTCGAGTTGTGTTAACAGTGAGAAGTGGTCTGAAGGGATGTGAGGGTGTGGACACCCAGTGATGTTGTTGTCAACCAGCCACTGAGGGTCCAAAGGCCCCAGGACACCAAGCACGTTCATGTGAGTGTTGGAATAGAAAATGTAGTCAATCACACCCTAGGGAGAAAGAGAAACACGACAGTGAGAACAGACCTCGCTTCCGGCAACCTGAACTCGACTGGCTTCTGGCTGCAATTCACAGGAAGAGGCACAGCGCTGGAATTAGGGTAAGAAACGCGTGTGGCGTTTTGCGTTCAAAGCGCTGCATCCGTTCTCATTAAGTCACTGGCCAGAGCCAGGTCGGAAGCTTAAAAACACCGGCAAATCAAGGATTTGTGTGCGGTAGGAAAGTGTCCAGCGAGCGTAGGAACCAGTGATGAAGCACTTACAGGAACAAAGAGAAAGACAGCCAATAGTCAGAAAATTAAGACAGCATCCTGGGGAGACCAGGTCAATGTCTGCCATTTCAGAAAAATCGCTGCTTACTTTGAAATCAAAAGTGTAATTGGTGTAAGGCATCAAGTTGTTTTCATAGGCGCTCTTGAGTTGGAAGCCATGCGTAATTCTTCCTTCAGAAGCCCCGTTTTTTCCATTGCCACTGAAGTTCATGAGACACTCGTTATAACGCAACTCCTTGAAGTCCTTGTGGTTGTCAGCTACTATGCCATTGCTTAAGTATTCCACTACACCTGTTTGCAAAGGAAAGGATTCAGGGAGTTGTTTTAAAATACAACATTCAGGGAGTGTTGGCCTCGGAGTTAAAAACCAAAACACGAACAAGACAGCCCATGAGATTAGAAAAGAGCTTTCCATCTAAGGGGAAATCTACACAGCAGCTGTCTTGTCCACGTCTGAGCCGTATACACCTTTCTGACACGCAGCCAAGGCAGCTGAGGCTCTCCAGCGGTTTTGACACCATTTTTTGAGGATTACAGTAAACCTATAGTACCCGTACTGTAGTACACATGTGACGGGGTGCTAGAGGCAGCTTTCGTACGTATACCTGATATTACAGTATCGAACGTCATAATTACTAAAGCAAACCCGTCTCCTTAGAAAGTTTTCACTGTAGTACACATGTGACGGGGTGCTAGAGAGGCAGCTTTCGTACATATACCTGATATTACAGTATTGAACATCATAATTACTAAAGCAAACCCGTCTTCTTAGAAAGTTTTCATGTTCCATCGTGAACTCACGTCTTTCCTACTTACTATTGCTGCTCAAGGCATGGGTATTTATTTAACGATTTATTTAAGATCTGTTTGTGCTTTTCTACATCTTTGTAGGCGCAACCAACTTTTCTGGAGCGTACAACTGATCACGAAAAGCAGTCTACTCAACCAGAGGACTTGCATTCTATTCAGCCACGTTTCGAAAGGCAGCTGTTACCTACCCAGGGAAGTGCAAACCGCCCCATCGCCCTCAGAGGAAAAGAGGATTCAAACGTTCTAAAAAGGTAAGTTAAAAATTAAGCCAAAACCAGTCTTACCTGAATCAGGCAACGAGTTGAGATCCGCACACAGCACCAGAGGGATAGAGTTAGGATCTGCTGTTGGGCTACCGGGCCTGCTTGAGGCTTTCTCGAGGATATTTTTCAGTTCCGAGACAAACATCATAGTCTGAATGAGTTTTACATCTGAGTATTCGGGGTCCCAGTGCATGTGGGCATTGGCCACAATAAGCAGCTGTTTGTCCACATGAAGCGATTTCATACCTAGACAAACAAATACATTTTTATCAGTGAACGGCTGATTGTGTGAATATAGCAGATTCCCCCCCGTTAACATTCAGGGTCTAGCTACTAAGGACTCCAAGTCAGACACACCAGCAGACGGATGTACTTTCGTTGCTGGAAAAAAGGCATTACCTGAACCACTGTTCCTTTCTAAATGAGCAGCATTTACATAATATTACGTGACTAAATCTCTCCAATATAGGAAAGAAATAGCCAGCATAATCTGATACCGTTACAGTTCCTTTCCTTCTCTACTGCCCAAGTGGTCATCACTTGACCGTGCACCACTATTCAATATTTAAGGCACAAGGGAGTTTCCTGACTCTTAGCCGCCACGGTACGGCAAATTGTTCCCTTGGGAAAAAACTCAATCTGCTTAAATGAATGCAGTATGAACCTGGCTGCTGCAAAACACTATAGCTGTTTTTACTATTTATCTGAGAAACAGTACTCTGAAAGATGGGGCATAAAGTCACAGGCAGCTCCTTCCAGTCCTGCGATTTAGACATTCTCCTCCTTTGAAGGGTACACTGGAAACAAGCGATCAAAACACCAGACCGCAGACAGAGCAGGGTGGCAATTTTAAGTATCTTGAAATTGTCTACTGCATCTGATCAAACTTAATGAAAATGTGACAGTCAGTCAATCAAGTGGCATGAAAAGATACCCGATAATCTCATTCTTCCACATCATACATTAGCACTGTCATACAGTCCCTGGGGGAGGACGGAAGGATTCAATCAAGGGGGAAAAAAGAGAGTTGAAAATAGAAGTTGCACATTACCGACAACTATTGGTAAGAGCATACACGTGTAAACACACTGACCTTGGAAAAGCTTAATTCTTCAAGTAGAATTTAACAGAGTAAGTAAGCAGGGACAAAAGCTTGAAAGGAGAAAGCTAAATGCTGGGCATCTGGCTGCGAGTGCAACGTACCAGGAAATCATGTCATCCGTGTCCTGTCTTAGCCACCGATGGGCTATCATTTCTCAAATTAGCACAGTGAACAGCATTTGTTCATCTGCAAGTACTTGGTTACCACCGCCAATGGCAATAATATTCTAGAGAGCCGTACGACCTAAAGAATAACTCATGCCTTTACGTGGAACTGAATAATCAATGAGAGAACCACGGTCATACTCACTTGCTCCAAATAATTCCTTGTGCACCTCTAACACCACGGCAACTCCGATGTTGTCCTTCGTCATCACTCTGTTTAACATAGCTTCCGAACCTTCAGAGTTAGCCATTGCCACCTGGTTGAACTCCACTGTATGCTTCTGCACCAGCGTAAATCTGATTAAACAAAGAGAATCGCCTGTGAACACGTGTGACGTATAGCTACGTGAAAAGACATGGTTTCTATCTGCACTCCAGTCTACCACGTCCGAGGAGAGAGCCTGCAGGACAGGGTGAGGCCCATTTCTTTTGTCCTCTCGTTTTACAAAAGTAAAAACAGTTCTAAGAAATATTCCCCCAGTCAGGATCGAGCTCTCGGTCTGGCAAGTGAGATACCCTCGGGGGAGACGAGATACCTGGGGCTTAGGAAGTGTTTACTTGTTTCAGCGTAGCACTCCGAGAGGACTGTTCAGAGCAACGCTCAGAGGTTATCGCACCTCCGCAGGAGTGTTGTAGGCAAAAAACTAAGATGAGACGGTATTTAAAGGCTTGCCTTTTACTTTGGGCAAATGCATTATTAAAAACCAGCTTCTTTCAAACCACTAGCTAACACCATTAGCTTTGCGAAATTGTTTTTTCATTCCTTTCCAGCCTTAGGGTGCCTGAAAACACCTTGCTTCAGGACAAACTGGAGGCTACCTATTGAAAGGGGTTTTTTTTGGTTTTGTCCTTTTAGAAATTTAAAAAAAAAGAAGTATTAATAGCAAAAAAAAAGGATTTTTTCTGTTTTTTAACTGAGAGCGCCACAGCATAATAACCAGTTCTGTATATATCCTTGTTAGTATCAAGGTTTGAAGGTTTGAAAAACATCAGTTGTTTGTTTTCACAGACTTCCTCTATTCAAAACCAGTCGAGTTGTTTTTATACATGATCTGAAAGGCGTATTTTTATTTCTGGAAGCAATGAAAACTCTGAAAGGGAGCTAAAGCTTTGGCAACTTCCATTCTAAATACTGAAAACTGTTCCGAGGGAATACTCAGAGGGATACTCGGTGTGGTACAATCCATGAGCAGTTTACACAAATGAGAAGCGTGAATGCCAGCACCCCTCCTCCCTTCCCAATAGTCTGATGCTTTTAGTGTAGCAGAACTTTTTGGATCAGGTATTCAATGATGTAACGTTTCAGTTCATAAAAGCAGAGAATATTCTGTGATCCTTTGGCAGTAATACCTCTTTTAATGCCTGAAGCACAGCTTATAGATCTTTAAAGATTAATCTTAGAGGGGTGAAACTTCTGTCAAGCAAGGCAGAAGTTTGTAGAGAAGGTGAAGTATTTATTAGATTTGCCAAAAATGCGCACACGAAGCGCGTAAGGTTTTACTCATACTAGCTCTCCTGGAACTTCCATGTTTCTGAAGAGGTATCTTTGTTCCTAGTGTGACAGGAACAGAAAGACTCTGTTGCAAATAGAGCAGCAAAAGGGAAGGGAGGATCATTCCTTGTAGTGAACTTTTTATCTTTTGTTTTATAGCACAGTACTTTGGTTACCATGCATCCTGAGAGAGGAAAGCTTTCAGACCTCAATCAAGTGGGTTTTACGGTATTTTAAAAAAGCTGCTTCTGCCCCTTACTTTTCAGTTTTGAAGAATATTGCACAGCCATCCACATGCTTCTTCTCCTGCTCAGACATGATTTTGGCACGTGACTTTGGAGAAAAGAATCCATCGTATCCTCGTTCTTTCAAGGCTGGCAGAAAAAGGGTGAAGTATTGCTCTGTTTCCACTTCCTGGAATTGAACACAAATACCTTAGGCTAACAAAGTCAAGTAAACCCTTCCTATCGCTGTATGGCAACTTGGGCCTGCCTTGGCTTGCAGTCAGCAGCTCTCACCAAAGCGAAAAGCTTCTGTTGGCACACATCGTGTCACTTCCTAGATTAATGGCCTGCTGGAAACAGATTTGCATTCCTGGATATCCTGGAATCTCCCCAAAAGGGAAAATGACAGGTGTATTTTGAATAGCAATAGATTACATCTGATATTTTTGACATCTGAATGCGGATACCGTCCTAGGTTAAAACTTCTGATAGGTCGACAGATATCCAGCAGCAATTAATATTTAATCTGGAGAGCTCTTTCACACAAGGGTCTCTCGCTGTTCTGTAACAATACATTTCCTTTGCAGTAACTTTCAGTCTCCGAGAGGATTTCAGAGGTTGATCTCTTGAGGTTTTCAGGCCAAGGTAACTACTCTCTTCTTGTGCAAGATTTTTGCCTACCAGAACTTGCTTAAAAAATGAAAGATCAGTTTAAAGGCAGAAGCGTTCAACTGTTCTAAACATCGGCAATAGATTTCTAACAGGATACAGGTACCAATGACCATCGATATTTAACTTTGACCATGAGAGTCCCCTTGTTTGCCAATGAGAGTATTTTTGAGACTTTAAATTCTGTACCAAGCAGGAATGGACTAGGAACAGTGGCGTTTGGGGTTATAGCATTCTACAGTCTCCCCTTCTGCAGTAAACCCCGTACACCCAGAGGGACAATATTTAGGATGCTTATCCGAGGGGGAAAAGACTCAGATCTTCCAATGCAAATTACCTACGAATTTAGCTAATTTTATCTCACTTACTTTGTCTCATTTCATAAAAGACAAGCCAATGCGTAAACAAGGAGCTGTGCACACAGCTTGTATTGGTAAGCCCCAGAATTTGTTAGCAAGCAGGCGAATATGGTGTTTTCAAGGGAGCATTTCATTCTAAAGGCGGAAGTTGAGGTTTTCTGTTTCTGATGAAAAATACAGTTATTTTCCAATTACCTGAAGACTAATGATATCTGCATCACAGTTGACGATTTCTTCCATGATTCCCTTTTTCCTGTACTCCCAGTTGAGTGCCCAAGACGGGCAGTAGCCATAGAGCTGCCGGGTGGCATATTTATCACACAACACATTGTAACACATAACTGTGAATGAAGCTGGAAGGAAAGAAAGAAAGGGAAAGGTTATCAACCTCTGAAGATTACAAATGCTGAACTTACCCAAGCCAAAATACTGAATGTTACACGGTCTATTCTGGAGGGCCTACTGAACACAAGTCAGTGGGCTTATTCCACTGAGCGTTTCATGAGCAGGAGAAAAAAAGGCCCTGCTGAGCCAGCAGTTACCATGTAAGGCTAAACTCTTCCTGAAAAAAAATCAGCATTACTACCAAAACGAGGCGGCGTCCTGTGCGTAACAAAGCAATGCAATCCCATTTTGCAGTCAATTCTTTATTGCCTTTGAGGATGGGGGAGATCTAGGGGTCGGCAACAATGAGGAACAGTCTCTCTCTGGATTTGGGGGTAAGGAGAAGGAAAGTAGCAGCCATTTCAGTGATGCAGTCAAAACCCAGTATCTATTGCATGAGGTGCCTTGATAAAGCAACTTCAGGCTTAAGTGACCTGTACAGTTCTAAAGCAAAAGCAAAACCAAGCTGCCAAAGAAGCTGTTACTATGTCATGACACCACAGCATCAGAGAGAAATGCTGCTTTAGAACGCTTCAATTTTAGGCAGTCTGATTCCAAAACATTTGTACAATTTTCCTAGCACCCGTGCAACGTTTCTAAGTTGTATCAAGTTGTATCTGTGTCTATCAAGTCTAAGGGGGAGAGAGAGGTCTGGGTGAGGGCAGGGAAGAGAAGGAGAAATGAAGTCATAAATTAGCAAGCACCTAATACATTATTTGGTCGCATTTTTTAAAAAAAGAGAGAAGTCAGCATGCAGCTCATCAGATCACTCAACCCGAAGCACACTTCTTTCACACACACACTTCTCAACTCCCTTAGAGTTTACACCGATTAAAAAAGATAGGTAAATGCAACGTCCTAGCACCACGCCACTGGGAAAAGACTGCTCATATTTGCAGGGAAAGAAGTGAGGTTTTACTGTGAGGCTACCCCACAGCTGTATTTTTTTATACTCGTAGTCAAAGAAGATTTCCGCTGTTCAGTTTCAATTTTATAGTAACAACCAATTGGCTTGTTACAGTTTCTAACATGAAATATTCCACAGCTCACTCGCCTAATGCTATGCTTTCTAATGACTTCTGAATTCTGTCGCTGCTCAGGAAGCTTGATTTAAAAAATAAAACCAAAGTCCGTAAAACTCCACCGAGATACTGATTTGTAAGGGAATTTGAAACAGAAATGCAGAACTTAATGTTGTGGTGGCTTATAGGACTTTTGGCATTTCCCGTTTCTTCCTTTTTTTTTTTCTGGTTTGTTGTTCTTTAATATAAAAAAAGTGACAGGTGACCTTAACTGCAGCATTAGCCTGCCTAACACACAACCGAGTAAAGTTTTGAAGACCTGCCATCTTCACGCTTCTAAAAAGAAAAAGCGTAGAGGACTGCCACGTTATTCTTGCTGGTTATTAATCCGATCTTCTGCAATAACAATGTTAGCATTTTTCTTCTTTATACAAGCTCACGGATGCTTTTTGAGGGCTATATTCAGGTTGTGCAGGGGAAGAAGAGCCACCGGATTTGGGCAGCCTGAAGAAATGCTGCCTCTTGCACTTTACCAAAAGCAACAATAGAGGGCATTAAACTAACTTCAGTACCAGGCACTCCACGGGTTTACTTGCAGATAGGGACTTCTCAAAGCCTCACTTCAGTCAGCCTGTGCACGGACACGGCATTTGTACGCAGTTATTTTACAGTTCTCATTATTTCCAGGAAATGAACTCTTTAAAAAAAGCTCTTATGCTTGGGCGTCGGTGGCTGGAACAGATATGAAAAAGCCTAACATGGAAAAGAAACGACTGGCATCCCATTGAAATTACAAAAATCATATTTACAGCATAGCCGTATGTTTATTGTTTTAGTACAAATGAACGCAAATTGCTGTTTGCAATCTGATCCACGTAAGGCAGAAGACTTCTCTGCAAATAAAGCCAAAGAAAAGTTTTTCAGCGCATCGTTGTGTGAACATAGGGAAAAGAACCACAGATTTACCTGAGGGCAGAATTTGGTCTCGTTCTTTTAAAGTAATCCATGGCCTTGGAGGCAGCTGCTCTGGATGAACTAAAAAACATTTAAAACCGTGATTAATTCAGGGTTTACATTTATATGTAAGTTACAATTTCTAAGTCAAAATGATGACTGAACGGTAATGTTCCATAACTGTGCTTTGCAACCCCAACTCCCCAAGTCTTTTTACGCTCCAGGGGAGGCAAAAATCATTTAAATGGCTAGCTATAGTAAGAGCAAATTTGTCAGTTCTAAGATTCACGACTGTTTTTGTCTCTTGCTTTCAAAACTCGAAGCACCACCGAAATACTCCTGCACCTTGAATACACTGCTGAAGAAGGAGGGGTAAATCCTGTAGTGGTTCAGACACCGTATACTCGCCTTCTCCAAGAACCTCATCCTGTATCCATCATTCCTGCAATGTTGTGACTTTGCCATCAAGTGGCAAAACGGAAAGCTCAGTTACGGAACCACGAAGTAGGATTTAAGTCAGGTACTAGATATTCTTAATCACTTTGGCATTTCCAGATCTAAATTTGACATTCTGCCTGCATTTGGGTTATAATTTCTAGCGGAAAGTATCAAAATGGCTTCAGCAAGGAAGACTTTGCACTTTGCTGGTAATTGAAGGGTTTCAAACAGAACAGTGGGAACAACTGGCTATAACATGGTAACATGGGAAAAGCTTAGACAATATATGTCATCCTCTTCCACTGTGTGCAAGTGTGTGTGTGTGTGTACGACTAGAACCACTTGACAAAAATGCAAAAGCAGTTTAGAAAATACTCTCCCTTCAGTGGTTCAGATTCTTGTTTTAGCAGCAAATACTGTCAGAAATGCATGCTTTTAAACCACTTCTGGCAATCAGATTTGTAGGGCTGTCACCTGCTAGATTGTCAAGCATGTAGTTCAGTAGCTTTCGAGTTCCGTCTGGATCCTGGTAGAGGCTGAGAATATCTTGTGATAAAGGATTGCCTGCCAACAGCATAAAACAACAACTGGGTGATTAGCTGCCTGACTTTCTTGAGGCTTTCCAACCAAAGAAAATCTCCCATAATGAGAACAGACAAATTGACTCAGAAGATATTTAGGTTGCTTAACTTGGAACTGTAGAATACCACAGTAACAGATGCTAAAGAAATAGCTAGCACACATAGACTCTCTTCCTTCGACTCACCTCAATCAATAATACAGTAGGTTAAAGGGTTTATTTACCTATCTACAGATTTGAAATAGGCTCGTAAGGAAGTTTAATAGCATTAAAAAGAAGAGCATTGTTTTTCAAACTGGCTGGTCATTTTTGCTACAAGCTTAATATCTCAAATAAACTGTAAGAAAATGCTGAGATAATACATGAAGCTTTTCAGCCCAGCCCCCTCAGTAATTCAAGAGTACTCCTAGGAATATTTAACTGTAAAGAACTCACTCACCTTTCAAACCTAGGGTTTGTAGCTGGAAGAGCCGTCCAAGTTCATAAGGCAAAACCCGTAACAGATTGTTATTTAAAAGCAATTCCCTGCAGCAAATGCAAGAACACTTTTGATGAGTATCACTTCAGAAGAAAACTCGTAAAGCGCTATATGCCGCTCATCTTCAAAGATGACACTTTTCACCCTGAATTTTTTTGTATTATGGAAAGATGTGCCAATCTTCCCATTTCAAAGCACAACCAGAATACTTTCATTAGTAAAAGAAAAGCCACAAAACCCCCAAAACACAAAATTAAATCAGGGAGAATTTTAACAGCAGGCAATTGCCAAGTGTCAAAGCATGTTTCAGAGCAGAAGACTACATAGCTTACAGACATGTATCTATAGAGATCAGAAAAGAAGGGTAATGAACCCAAAAGTAATTATTAGAACTGAAGCTTTGCACCAATCTTGAATTTTTCAGAATTATTTTAAATACAAGAATGGAAAGTAAAATAAAATTCTCCGTCCCAATCCCAGAATACAGATTTTTGAAAAGTTAACCAGAATAATTTATCCCACCTGAGAGATACCATGTTTCCTAGTTCTGCTGGTAAACTTCTGAGTTTGTTGGATGACAGATCCAGGTAAACCAGATTATGAAGCTTGGCAATATCAGGCGGAATGCGAGTAAGATTATTGTCATTGAGGTGCAGAGCAGTCAAGTGCGTCAGCGACCAAAGTGACGTACTTAAGCTCCGCACTCTACCTAAAAAAGAAAAGCAAAGAACCACCTCTTCAGTCAGGTCTGCGCTCTCAAACCATCAGCTACAAACTATGGGGAAGGTCAGAATATGGGATTTCCAGCGTGGAAACCCTACCACTTCACTGGAGCACTCAGTGACGCTTGCAGAAGATACCTTCGTGTATCTTCTCTACGAGCAGACTTTGAATAATTATCTAACCCTCCCAGTTAAAAGGATAGAGACAGAGGTACAGTTCTAGGGAAGCAGATGTGCTACCCAAAAACTCGCGTCCAATCTGAGTTGGTGTTTTAAATCAGCTGGGCTGAATGTGAGCCAGCCAAGCTCGAAGGCAATCTGGTAAGTCAGTTACTCCTCCTCCCCCAACTCAGAAAAGCTGTTTTCACAACAGCATCCCCTGTCTGAAAGCGTCTGGTGCGATTCTGGGGCACCAACAACTCCCCTGAACCAAAATTCAAAACCAAATCAACTCACCCGAGATCTCTAATTCAGCCCAGTGCGACTTCTTCCCGTTGGCTACCTCTTCTGCTGACATGATGGTGTAAATTCGGCGAGGATCTGGAGGATCATATTTTTCCTTTGGCATCCCTGTTAGTCTGAAAGACCATCACAACCATTACTGTCTGCCACTCCACAACACTTATTCATTTCTAGCCCGCCAGGAGATTATCTTCCCCAGTGACACTCTGCAAAAACACGTGCCCTGGAGTTTATGTACAATACATATTATGCTGACGTCCGCCCAACTGCTCCCAGCGCATGGAGTTAAGCAGGTGCTCAGACCTTTGCAGAATACGGGCCCGTAACGGAAAAGGGCATTTCTTCCTACAAAGTCTGGTCTTCTGCAGTCATCCGCAGCGTTACCCTGTGCTGCCCCGATGCAGACTTTCTGGATTTCCTAGTTTATCCCTCAGACCGAAGCATAACCTACGTCATTGCCGAGTTATTTGCTGTGTGCAGAACCTGCAGACAAGATGACAGTGTTTCGCTATTCACAGCGAAAAGCACACGGATTGCTCCCTCCCGTAGTTTTCCCAGGGAACCAACGACTGAAAGGAAGGCCCTTCTCTTTGCTTTTACAGCAATTATTTTCAACATACAAAGTCCTACTTCTGCACTCCACTTATACAAGACTTGAAATTGCAGTCTGAAGGGGAAACCGCTCAATTTTTCCATCAACTATCTAGCTTTTCTGTTTTGTGCTTTTTCATGCTCACTATCAGTCAAGACCTTTTTACTCCTAATGGCCTAGAAGACATAAAATGAGCTCAGGTAAAATTCTCATCAGCTGTTCTTAGGCATACAGGGCTTCAGCGCAGTCCAGAACTTTAATATCAGATGCACTCATGTCTTAAGGGTGAGCTTGCGCACACACAAATTCAACTGATCTCATTTTCCAGATTCTTGTCAGAAGAGAGCTCCAATGTCCCGTTCAAAAAACATACACTTTCCAGATGAGACGGGGAGAAGTTTCCCTCCATACTTCCCCAGACCGTTGTGCTGAGAAAGACTGCGGGGGGAGAGGGGTTGTTTGGTTTAAAAACATAAGGTTAGCTGAATTTGATGTTCGCTGGTCTTTTCCTCCCCAGACACACAAAATACACAAACCTTGATTTTATACAAAACCAGAGCAGCTGGTCTACAGGATGCGTTTTTTCCCTCATACATACGTCTCTACCACAACTGGCTGCAATAGCTGTCAAGGTCTTAAAACAACTATAACTCGTTTGGTTTGCTGAACTGACAAGACAGAAAACGATGAAGAATTTGAAGAAACTAGTTCAGGGGTTTTTTTTCAGCTAGTCCAACTAAACAAAGATCACACGTCCCCCTTTACAAGCTTAAAGTACTGCAGTTTTTTCCAACTGATGCAGATAGATAGCCAAAACAGTGTTCCGGCATTGCACAGGAGCAGGAGTTGTCAGGGCTGTCCCCCGCGAAGGGTCTCAGTTACAGCTCTGGTTCTTCCTTCCCCGATGAACGCCCAAGGAAATTCCATTCACACTGAATTAAGGCTCCCTGTTGCAAGCACAAGGCAGATGTGAGCCCCACATCCAATTATAGCTGACTTCTATTTGCAGGTGAAGTCATACAGCGAGGAAAGCTACAGGGTAAGAGGATTCTGCACTCACGCTGCTCAGCTGCAGCAATTCAGTTCGAGGCGATGAATGAAACAGATTACTTAAGGACATGGGATTAGACCTGAAATCCTTCGATCCTCGCTTCAGAACCCCAAAACCGGGAACGGTACTTCCCAACACAGAGTTACAGGCTATGCTTCGGAAGTGCTACATCTCTGGTACTTGGGGTTTGCTGGATTTATCTTCACTGTTAAATACATTCACGTGCAGAAGCAGGGAGCAACCCCGGCCGCAAGAACAGATTCTTCACAGCCCCTGACGAGAGACACAAGAGTCCTATTTCACCTTTTCTCCCGGGCATCCTTGCCCTTAGACACGTATGAAACTAATCCACATTCCAGTGAGTCTCGACACGACTCTTCCTGGATTTTGCTAGATCCCTGGAGCCAACCAGAGACATCCAGCAGAGCCGTGAATCGCCGCTGAGATGGGGGGCCAAGACCCAAGCATTGGGAGAGCTTGCAGTCCCTGGCAGCTGTGGAGAGCACGGTCCCAGTCCCACTGCCTGCGAGGAAGCATATTGCAACGCTACCGTACTTTGTATTAAAGCCTAATTGCCTCGAGTAGCACCAAGTGTGTTATCTAGCATGCTACTCCATATGAATCTTACGTGATATACACTCGAATCAAGACCACAGCCCTAGCATTTCAGACACGGCATAAACGGAGCGAGCCTGTCCGTGCCAAAAAGCAGCAAGCTAGTTTTGCAGCAAGTAAAGCAGTCACGTCACTGTCACAGAGTTACCTGCAATGATCCTTTAACAGAAAATGAGATTTCATTACCTGGCAATATTTATTTCATCCTCAAGGCATACTGCAGATTAGAAGGGGGGAAACCTAAAAACTGGGTGGTGAAAATCAAGCAGAATACCAACAAAAGGTTAAGGGTTTATGGCAGAAGGGAGTTTTTTGGATCTTTAAGTCTTAATCATCAAACATTTGAACTGGCCCAGGATGGGTCTTCATTTTGCTTTTTATTCTGTCGTATCTTAAAACAATTTGTACTTCTACCACATCTGCACCTAGGACATTGCAAACTTTGCTGTCCAATACTCAGCATCAGCATCTGGGTGAGTGCTCTGTGAAACACGCTGTGCTTACCCGGTCTTCGCATTCTTGTTTTCTACAGAATAATATTATAGTAATATCAGACCCAGGCAGATGCAAATTTTAGTTTCTGCATACTGAAACTCCTCCCTGCCCTGCATACTGCTGGCAAAAGCTTTGGCCACGGTCGCTTCCTATGGGGTTCTCGAGGTACATTTCCAGCGGGAAATTATTTGTATTTCTGCTCGACGTTTCATCGCAAGCCAGACACAGATGGCTAACAGCTCAGGAAGGCTCAGTCCAGCCAGGGGTCCTTGCAGTCACACGCACGTCGATTCAAAGTCTTGAAGCGGCAGTGGTCTCCTCCAGCTGCTCAGCAGCCTCGCTGGAAACCAGAGCGGGGCTTGCTGTTCCCACTTGCAGACCCCAGCAGCTTCGCTCCTCCCAACAGGGGAGAAGTCGGACAAATATCCCAGGGCCTGGTGATGAAGCCTTTAAAACCGTGGTGGTTAGACCATCTGAGTCACCCCACGCTCATCCATACCTGCCCGCAGGCCAAGAGATGACCACTGACCGGGTGACACCATCAAAAAGCTTCAGGATTACCGTTTCCTCCTTGGCAGGGAACCCAATTATGTTATGTTGAAATATCGCTCATTATGAGAAGTGCTCTGCCAATTTAAAGCAATTTGCGGCAGTCAGAGGCCTTCCAATGAAATGAGCCCTGAACTGCGAGTCAAACGACACGCACATCTTTCGGATATTAGTCACTTTAATATTATTTTGAAATAGTAGTGAGTCAGTAGTGAGCATCAGTGTAATTTCCACAGTTACAGAAAAGGGAAAACAAACCTAAATCAAATATATATATTTTTTTTTCTTCTGCGTAACAGCAACATTGAGCAAGACTTGAAAGCCATGTGTATTTTTTTTAAGCAAAAATGAATTCTGCCTGGGTTCCCAACTCCTGTCGTTCCCATCTCCCCCTCTGCTTGTCCTGGAACTAAGCCAGTATCCAAAAATCTCAACCTACTTTTGCTCGGTCTTCAGGGAGCTACACCGAGTTCCCTGAATCAGTCAACCCCAAAATCGGAGTGCTGTCACAAGGAACAAAGCAGGAAGACCCAGGCAGGGACGTGGGAACTGAAGTAGCACTGATTTAGGTCAGCTTGAGCTGTTGCAGAGTCGCACCCTGCGGGTTCTAGCAAGGCCTTTGCTAAAATTCGGCTAACACAGGTGTGACACGAGCAGAATATGTGCACTCAGTTTCTCTGCTTTTCAAATGGGACCAAAAAAATTTCTTGCCGGCTTTTCTTCTAAAGAGTTCCCTTGGAAAACTTTTGAAGCTACTAAAACTTGCTCTCCACTACAAATCTAACCACGTAAACTTAAATAGTATGACCCTGATATCGTGTAAATTAAAGAAAACCTGAATATGAGGACATCAGTGCATTAGTAAGAACAATATTTAGCTCTGAACAAACTTTGAAATCTGGGGGCTCCTAACAATGTCATGCTTATGCACTAACTCTTTGGCTACAAGTCCATCCTCAAAAGCCTAGAGGTGACGGGCACAGCAGGGTTACTCAGCTGAAACCTGAAGTACGGTCCCAGGTGAACTTAAGCAGCTCTAGCTCAGCTGTATATAAAAAGGGCTACAGGGAGGTTATGTGGTTTGGAGGTGTTGCAAGTGGTGTGTCTGTGGCTGCCTTTTTTTGCACTCTTGTTTTTCTATGCTGTTGTATTTGCTGGTTTTTGTGCATGGGGCACACTGACTATCAGTTAAAGCCAAAAAAAGGAATCATGTAACAGCACTGAAGGTGTGAAGGGTGTCAAAGAAGAAAGTTTTGAGCTATCAGGCTGCGTCACAGGCTTTTACTCTGAAGACATGTTTTTTGGGCAACAAGCAACAGGAGCTTCTGCACACTTGGAGTTTCAGACAACCAGGTAATAACAGAAAAAAGCACTGCTCTTCTGTACTTAACTGTCTAAGGCCTTCTCAAGTTATATGGGTGTGGAGAATGTGAGATAGGGAGGATATAGGTAGCAGTATGAAATATAAACTGTGATTTTTCTTAGGGAGAAGCTGAAGGCAGCCCTACAAATTGCATCAACACAACAAGAGGAAAAAAGGACACTATGCTAAGGATTAAGACATATTTTAAGTAGTAGTGGGGGTTTTTTTTGTATGGGTGGGGGAAATCAACAGCAGCTGTGAACATAGAAAATATCTTCCATTACACAGCACATCCAAACACACCGAAGTTACGATCTCAGGGTCGCTATGAGAGATGAACTGCATCACTATCATTTTTAATAAAGTCAAATCTCTTCTTCCAAAGGCAAATATTCCCCATCAAGCAGAAGGATTAACGTATGTTCAGCAGAAAGAGAAAGCCTGCTC